AGTATGTAGAAGCCTGTGTCACTCACTGACAAGTAGTAGCTTAGATTCATGTGGAAAATTATGCATATCACATATGTTTGGGAACTCAGAACATGAGATATGTCTGATTTGGTTCTTCACAAACATCTTAGAGAAACAAGCACTGAATCTTGTATCCAGGCTTGAAATAATCTATTTTTCACACAAACATAGTTCAGTATAGAAATGTGCTAGGAGAAATCTACTTTGATAAAGTAACCACAGATTTGTTGTTCTGTGAAGGTAACTTATAGCCTGGAATATGAACAGTAAGCAAGAAACTCTGAAAAAACAAAGGAAATGACATATCTACCAAGAGGATGTCATGTGCAAGAGGTCTGGAGGGCAGACCTTGCCAGGAGCAAATGACAGCCAGAGGTTAGTGGACAGAAAGGGAAGTGACATATGATGTCCTTATCACCCAAGGATAGGTCATCTATAGCTTTGTAGGTCATGGTAAGGAGTTTGCATCTTATTCTAAATGCTTTGAAATACCACTTCATTTAAAAAACATAATTCCCAGGGTTGGGGATTTAGCTCAGTAGTAAAGCATTTGCCTAGTAAGTGTAAAGCCCTGGGTTTGGTCCTCAGCTCAGAAGAAGAAAAAAAAAAAAAAAAAAAAAAAAAACAAAAAAAAAAAAAAAAACCTAATCCCCTGCTCTGTGCAGTTTAGCTTGTCATATGTCATAGGCCAATTGTGAAGAAATTGGGTGGAAATCTTAAAAATCCATGCCAAGAATGATAATATACTGCCAGAGATGCTGTCACTTCGCAACAACCCTTTGACTTTTCTCCAATTTGTGCTTTAGTCCTTAGAGCTTCCCACGTATTTCCACAGATGACTTGCATATCATGTACCACCCTGGACCTCAGCCACCCACACCATCCCCATATACATAGCTGCAGAATTCTTTTCCCTCTTGCTGCCACCAAGTTCTTGATCAGATTCCTATCTTACTAGGTCCTGGGATTGCCCACAAATCCTAAGTGCTTCTTAAGTATTTGTTAAATGGATAAGTATATGTCTAGTGGTTCTGGGCAGTTGATCAGCCTCAGAATTAACAGGGTACATTTGAAGTGTATATGTCAGGGCCATGTCCCCAGGGGCTGCCGTTCACACAGTGCATTGTATTTGTTGTAGAAGCTGATGCGGGGTAATCCTGATGTTCAGTTAGTGCAGAGAACCAAGGGAGAGGACTGATACTGCAGTATCTCCTGGGACTATCACACCTACCCGCTACTTCAAATGCATGTATCTGTCTGTCTTTATGGTTATTGAATCCACAACAGAAACTGCAGTATTTGCTCAGTCTTTAAAGTTATTAAAAAAAATAATTAAGGTATCTATTTTATGTAGGTAGTGAGGAACACAGCATGGTGACATTTACTTTTAATTTATTATTTATTCTTTGAGAACACCATACATGTATACATGATCATACACACACACACACACACACACACACACACACACACACACACACACACACACACACCCACCCACGCACACCCCTCTCCTCCAGCTCATCCTAACCTTCTATCACATCCTCCTCTGAAACTCATGTCCTTTATGTCCTCATGTTCTTTATCACTGAGTCCACTTAGTACTTCCAGTATGGACATGGCTATAAGGTCAACTGATGCCTGGGCAACCTATCAGTGGTCACATCTCTGAAGAAAACTGACTCTTCCCCCATCCCTTAATCCCCAGAAATCAAATGGTAAATAGTCTATAGTTAGGGGTAGGGCCACACCCCATCCATGCTGAAATTTTCATTGGCTTGATCTGAGTGCTGTTATATTTCTTATCTAGGCAATTAGTTTGCATTGAAGAAGTGATTTCAGCCAACTTCCTGGAAGACTACTGTCTTTACTAGACAGGTGGAATTTGAGAGCTGGAGTTATTTATTTATTTATTTATTTATTTATTTATTTATTAATCAGCTATGAACTCCCAAAACCAAGAGGGAGTTAGATCACATTTTTTTTCAAGTTTTATATTCAGAAAGTCTGAAGTGATATAAATGTTTTGATTTTGTAAGAGGAAAATTTTGTTTAATTCTATAATAATGTGTATGTACTAACATGATTTTAAGGCACCTGCTTCAGACTCAAAACTTGGATGTTGGGGATAATAACAATAAACAAAAATCAAACCAAACCGGGCTTGGTGCCCAGGAAAACTAGCCAGATGACAAGAACTAGGATAGCAATATACTAATTATGGAAATGAGGCAGGAGTGGATGATCTCCTCTGTGGAATTTTGTTAGGACTTTGGTTATTATGGGTGGGGTTTCTAACCAGTTAGTCCATTTCGATGACAAAGGTTCAGTGGAATTTGCCTCCTTGACATGTGCGTCTTAAACATGTTGGGAATATACAGTGTTTCTCCATTGCATGCGAGCTTTTATAATGCTATAAACTACTTGGAAACAAACAGACCAGAAGTAAAAATAGGTGCTCAAAACCACTTTAACTGAAGTCAGAAGGAAAGGCTAAAGTTTCCCAGGATGCTGAAGTGACGTACAATTCACATGAATAGGGAAGGAAATCCTCAGTGTGTTCAGGGGTGTGTCTAATGCACATGTGTAATACGCATTTCCTGTTATTGAAAAATAGGCTTTAATATGTTCAGCACATTTTAGGGCTTATGTATATATCTGGTGTGTGGTTGCTTTTAACAAGAAAGTGTAAGCGCACAGCACAAATGTTGGAGAAGCACATTCAAGTCTCTTTATCATCAAGGGAAGTGTGTGTTGAATGGAAAAAGTAATAACAAAGGAATGGCAAGGCAAGGGCATGGCTGATCCTAGGTGTGGTGGAGGAGAAAGTTTATTGTACGTTAAAGGGAGAGCATAGGTACAGGCAGGGACATTAGAAGAGTGCAGAGTGAACATGACAAAGCTGAGCTAGGCCCTGTGGAAAGAGAAGGAAGAAAAGGGAGAAAGAAGGAAGGGTGGGGACCAGATTCAGCAGCCAGGAAGCCAAAGGCACAAAAGAAAAGGAGCCAACATGCCTGGATTATGTAGGGAAGAACCTCTGGGGGAAGGGAAACCCAGCTCCTAGGCTGGAGAGTTCAGGGTAGGGGTATGCCAGCCATACCCTGTAACAGTTAGGGACTGAGGGATGCTAGGAGATCCTGGCATCAGGTCTACTTTGATGTGTCAATTATGCACTACAGCCATTTGTCCAGGTATGAAACTTAACACATGAACGTGTGTGTGTGTGTGTGTGTGTGTGTGTGTGTGTGTGTGTGGAAATGGTCATTCCCAATGGTTGCAATAGTCTAGAGCGGTGGTTCTCAACCTTCCTAATGCCATGTGATCCTTTCATACAATTCCTCATGGTATGCTGACCTACAACCATAAAAATTATTTTCATTGCTACTTTGTAACTGTAACTTTGGTGCTGTTGTGAATTTTAATATAAATATCTTGTGTTTTCCAATGGTCTGAGGGGACCCCTATGAAAGGGTTGTTTGATGCCCCTCCCATCATAACCCAAAGGTTGAGAACCACTGCGTTAGAGGCTGTTGTGAGAGGGCCATTTGTGATTCTGTAATTGAGTAGTGCAAGAATGAAGACTGTGTAACCACAGAAGTAAAAGGAACTGGTGTGAAATGCCCAGAATATTTTATCCAAATATAACTGAACTAATAAGTAGCAAGCCAAAGCATTGTTTGATATCTAAAAACATTTGCTAAATTCAGGTTAGGAGCAAAGGGAGATTCTACTAAGGCCATAAAGACAGACTCCTTGCTGGACTTAGAGACTCACCACAGCTAAAGGCAGTCACCCCATTGGCTTCTCTCTTGGACTCTCCTACTTCAATATGAGCTGTAGGGTACATGAACTATGGAGGCTGCATTTGAAAACATATGTATTTGCATGTGTGTACCTGGAGTTGAAGTTGCAGGTAATTGTGAGACTCCCCACATGGCTGGGAGCCAAACTCATATCCTCTCCAAGAGCAGCATGTGCTCCACCTGCTGAGCCCTCTCTGCAGTCCTGGAGACTTCTCAGCAGCTAATAGAGCAAGTTCTTTCTCTCCCTCTTCCCTGGGAACTATTTTTGCCTCCTGCTGAGTGTCTCTGCATAGTTGTTAAAAACAAGGATAAAATATTCCCTAGATGCATACTCTTCCCAGAGGCTGCGATGGGAAGGACATCGTAGCCAGTGGTATTGGGTACTTTCCTTAACTCCTTCATTATTTTGCTGTTTACTCTCACTGACTTCTGCAGACATGACTTGCCAAGATCTCTAATTACCTCCTTCTCCATCCTTGTGCCTTAAGTTAACAAAGTAAGCAAACGCAGGAATGTTTGGGATGCCTGTTTACCAGTATCTGTGATTAACTTTGCCTTAGAGGTGGTGCTTGCCCACCTGCAGCGCCAAAGATTTAAAACCACTTAAGGTGGAAGGATTTTTCCTGGTCCTCGGGCTTAGAGACTAAAAGAACTCATTTTGGAGCTATGCCCAGAATGCTAGCCAGATAGTCTTAATGGGATGTAAACGAGATACAAACTGGGTCGTGCTATAAAGTCAAGTCTATCACTGAAGCTCGAGTATTTACAATGAACAATAAAACTGGAAATAGGTCCAGGAACTACCCCAAGGAATTGGTAACCTTACCCTCACTTAAAATTCAGCCTTCCTAATGAGCCCTACCTGGCTGCTGCCTGCCCTGCATACTTCTGTCCCTGAGAGCTGTAATTGGGCACTTGTAGCCTCCATTAAATTACTTGGTGTAATTTAGTTATGATATTTTCAGTTCAATTGCATGGAGACATAAATGAAGCAACAGTTGCATTATAAACTGGCTATGTCTTCTTTTTCTCTTTCGTTCACTTCTCACTAAAGACAACCCCATCTTCTCTCCGTGCATATACACATTTGATGTCATAAAAAATAACACTGAATAAGCAAATCAGCCAATTTGCCTGCCCACTAATCAGAATGCTTCTTGTTTGTTTGTTTTACAGTGACAAACAAGAAACCCACACAGGCATCTATCACGAAGGTCAAACAGTTTGAGGGCTCCACGTCATTCGTCCGCAGATCCCAGTGGATGCTTGAGCAGCTTCGCCAGGTTAATGGTATTGATCCTAATCGGGTGAGTGAATTTTCCAATGCTAAGCAAAGGACCTCTCTTCACATAGTGACTACTTGAGCACAGTAACGGTGATGGCAGTTAGAGTCATTCTTATCAGGCTATTCTCTATTTCAGTTGTGTGATCAAAACTTCCCAGTCTCTGCTCCTGCCTTATAGGAAATTGTAAATCTCCCATCTTTGATAGGAAACCCCAAGAGATAGCACATGGAAAACTGCTATCTCCAGCAATATTTATCAACACAAGACAGAGCTCAAAGAAACATGTCCCTAGCTGTGTATATGAAGACCCAGGCTTGTCAAAATTTCATTGGCCTCTCAATGCCAATAAATGAGTGATATTTTAAAATAATGAATTAGGATTCCAACAGAAATATTTTATGATGTAAGCAGCTACTCAAAGGACCCCTTCCCTTTTGTCCACACTGTCTCCAAGCATCAGTGAAGTACTGAAGGAACAAGGAGGATTTCTTTCCAACCTGTGCATAAAGAAATTAACAGATAACAATATGGAAAATGGAAAGCAATGCTTCTTTCTAATAATTGGTCAGATACTATAGGGTCAGCTCTCTGACACAAGTCTTGACCACTGCAGTCCTAGCTTCCTGGGATCATCTCTAAATAAAGAACAGCTTGGATTTATTTGCTTGTAAACTTGTAAACTATCCATGAATTTGAGTCATAGTAAACATGAAATCTATGGTCCATTTTTTTTTTTTTTTTGAGATTTTGTGTTAGCTTTTGTGCCTCTTTTTGACAAGCCAGAGCTCAAAGCAGAAGTTGGTGTAGATCGAAATCAGTATTAATTTCACTGTCTTTTCCAGGATTCTGCAGAATTTGATTTGTTGTTTGAAAATGCCTTTGACCAGTGGGTTGCTAGCACGGCTTCAGAAAAGTGCACCTTCTTCCAGATCCTCCATCATACCTGCCAGAGGTACCTCACAGATAGGAAGCCAGAGTTTATTAACTGCCAATCCAAAATTATGGGAGGTAAGTGGGCACCTGCACTATTTTAGCCATCCTATTTCCTGACACTCATTTTCATGTAAGAAGTTGGGTGTGGAGCAAGTTAATTAAAAACAAACAAAAGCACCAAAATGCTCAGAATTGGTTGGCATTAAGGAATTTGTTGTAAGCCATATCTAGAGGCAAAGGCATGCTTTCAGTCTTCCAGGAGAGCTGATCTTGTTAGAAAAAATTATCAGCTTAACTAATAGAGTTTTTACTATAAGAATAAGCTTGTCTCCTTACTAGAAAAACTTTTCACATTGATCTCTTTGCTACCTTTGGTATAATCCTACTACAGAACATTCTTTTGGGTTTCTTCCTATTTTTTTCTGAGGATGCTTTCAAATTCCTCTTGTTACTGTGTCTGCTGTCTTTTCTTGTATTACTTTTTACTAAATCACTGTGATAGGATACTTGACAGAAACAGCTGGCAGGAGGGATGATTTACGTTGGCTTACATTTCAGAGGAATACAGTCCATTCACAGTGAGAAATGCATTTCCAGTTAGGGTGGCTGGAACAGCTGGGTCTGTGGTAGACAGTGCTTACATTGTAACATTTTAGGAAGCAGAGATAGCCTGTAGTCTTCAAATTTGTCCATCCCCCTAAATGTAAGCCCCATGTCCAAAAGGTTCTACAACCTCCAAAGCAGTGCACCAACTGGAGACTGAATGTTCCACCACATAAGACTATGGAGGGCATTTCATATGCAGACTGTATCACTTTCTATCAGAAGCCTTTCTTCTTCATTCAGGAACAGCATACAGAGGTGAATTAGTATTGTAAGCCAGGATGAAGAGGCAAGCATGGGAAATGGAAACATTTAAGAGTGCCCACATCTGCCCTTCCAGTGGCAAGGCCTCTTAGGAAACCCAAGCTGCTGAAAACAAATACCTTTCAATCATTCCAAGTTGGGGGATATTTCATAACATAGGCCTTTTCAGTGACCTATTTTACTGATCTAGAAATTTTTGTTTGTTCGTTAGTTTGTTTTTGGTTGTTTTTGAAGACAGGGTTTCTCTGTGGCTTTGGAAGCTGTCCTGGAACTAGCTCTTGTAGACCAGACTGGTCTCGAACTCACAGAGATCTGCCTGCCTCTGCCTCCCGAGTGCTGGGATTAAAGGCGCTTGCCACCACTGCCCAGCCTAGAAAAATATTTTTTAAATGTACCAAGGTTGCCACCAAATACTGAGAAGATCCCATTATCAATAACGCATCCTCTGCTTGACCTCTACTTGTCTTTCATGTGACTATGGATTAGAATGCATGGCTCTGTGCTATCAATCGATTATGCTCATGCTTGCTTTGCTATTCCTCTATAAGATACTGTATTGGTAATACACTGTCTACTTTACTTCATTTTTGTCCCTGTGGTTATTTCCATCTTAGGAACCTTGGAAGGTACTTCTTATGCATTAAGGCAGTCCTATACTGTAGCTCTCCTGTTTAGTTATAAAATATGTGGGGTGATGAGTGTCACATATTTTCTATAAGGTGGTCACTTCATACTGCATGAAACTATACAATTCAGTGTGGAAAAGAAATTTCAAATGCTGACCTATTTGGAAAAGGTAATGGGGTATAGTCCCCTGCTGAGCCTTTGCCACTTGGAGGTCTTCAAATTAAATGGACAAAGTATGTTATTTTGGAACCACTTGTGGCTGTTTTCAGTGAGTAGAAAGTTGTCCAGAAAAACAAGTGTTTTACTCATTCTTCATCACGTGGTGTTTGCTCCTCTGGCCTAATGTCAGATTGGTTCCTGCTGTGGAACATTTTCTTCATTGAGGATGGTATGTGCACTGGCTTGTATAGCTGTGTCTCCTGTGCCTCTTTGAGAGAACTCTCCCTGAGCATTGCACTTTTCTGTATCCCACACTGAGAATGGAGAATCCAGGAGGAGACCCAATGTTGTGGGAGACCCTGCATCTTTCATATGTTCTTCATTCCCGTTGAATATACCCACATTCCTCACAAGTCATAGCCAGCTGTGTCTTTTGGTCATTGGCTCTATCTTCTATTACCTTCTATTGCCTTGTGAACCTCAAAGACGCAGCACTGAGATGAAAGCTTTATTTCTAATCCCAAGCAGTTGGTATGTATAGTGGATAAAACTACATTACTTTCCTATAGTCAGAAAGAGAATAAGCTAATGTTATCAGACACCATAACTACTTTTGCCTCCTATGACTCTGGGTGTTTCTTTGGTTTTTCTTTTAGTTGTCCCAGAAATGACACCTGATAATAGACTAGAGGATTTCAGTTCTATCATTCTGAGAATCCGTAATTCCTAAGGCTTAGTTTATTGTCTAATTATTTCTTGACTAATCAATTAAGCAATTTACTCTGTCAAATATTAGCTGCTCCTGCATTCCTTAGGAGAACCAGAAAGTTTGTATTGAGCATGCTGTAATTTGCTGGCAGCATATGTATCCCTAATGAATGCAATCTGTTTTATTCAAACAGTTGTGTATCTTTGATAAGAGTTGTACTAACACAGCCTAATGAATTAGTACTCTTAGTAGTCTTCCTTTCTTCCAGTTACATAATCCTGAAACTTTCAAATGGTGTTTCTTGGATGACTCTAGTCTGACCCTTTTACTTTTGGGGAGCTGGTTCATCTTCAGCAGATTAAAGTCTGTCTAATTTCATAAAATCTTTTCTTGTCAACTTATAGTCAGGTCACAAGTTGTAATTGCAAATGTTCATTTTACTTCAAAATATGGCAGATCTGTGACTTTTTAGAAAACTATTATCATTGGTATGCTGCCTGCCCCCAACAATCTCTCTTCATATGTTATCTTACTTGGCATGAATACAGCCTTTGGAAATACAATTTATTATCTCTACAGAGAAGGAAACAGAATCAGGGTTATTAACTAGCTAGGGAAGGGTCATTTCACTTGCTGGGAGTGGAGATAAGAGTCCAGGAATGGCTTTCACAGTCCTCTGGGCATCTTACTTTGAGAATGCTACTCAGCTTTCCTGTGACTGGTGCTCCCTGGAGTTCTGCAGGAATTGTTGAGAATGTTTTAACTAGAACCTTCCTGGGGTTTAAAAGGGGCCTGGATAGGAGGAATGGACTAGAGATTGTGGATAATTTAAATACCTTCCTTGTCACTTCATGGATATATTATTAATGTAATTATCTTTCATTTTGTCCTAAAATCCATAAATTCATCAATGACCTTTAAAACCCTCTGACATTGTATTGTTTGTTTATTTTGGAGGGGTAAGAATTTCAGTAGATTGGACAGATGAGAACACAGGAAAGATGGTGTGGTTGTGGCTATGCACGCCTCACCTCCCAGAGACTCCAAGTCTGTTCCAGTGCTATCCTTGGGAAAACTGAGGCCCAGTGGTTTTAAATGACTTTACCAATGTCAATGAAAGTATGTCTGTCCCCTGAATAACACTTTCTTTAATAACAGTCCAATTTAAGGTTATCACTTAAATATCGACAACCCCATGTTCCTTTACCCCTACATTTTCAACTGTGCAGGCCATGTGTGATTATATTTTTCTTCTCATGGGGGAGGTCAATTACAAAGAAATGAAATTGTTACTTTGGCATGTCATATTCAAAATTCTCTCCTCCACAATGATATTTCCTGAGCTCCAAAAGAAAACTGAGACATTTAAGCCACCTCATGTTAGTTCCTGGTCTGCAAAAGATATGAGTCAAGTCTATGTGGTTAGTGGAAGGCCTTCACAAACTGGAAGCAAAGAAGCATTCTCTGAGAGATGTAAAGGGGATATGCTGGCATCTCCTCATGTCTTTTGTGGCTGGTACTTCTGTGGTGGTCCTCTTCTCTCCAAATAGTTGAAGAAGCAGTGAGCTAGGACAGCATTCTCAATCACATTCCTAGCCTTCTCATTCACTACAGACCAGTCTCTTCAAAATTAAATCCACCCATCGAGTTTTCTGGTACTTCAATCTGCCTAGCCACCTGCACAGACTGATGGCAGGAGTGGGAGGCAGTTATAGCTGCTGAAATCTGACAGGATACCCAGATTGGGATCCCTACAGGTGAATTATTGAGTTCACATGAGATGGATATACTTCTGGCATCATAGCTTTTATTTTTCTCTGTATTTATTTTACACAGTGATGATGATAGGCATGATACTCAAGATAACATACGTATGCTTGAATCTTTGGCTTCTGAGGAGGGACTTTCATTATACCGAAATACAGTCAGCTCCAAATGGAGCATTTGTTTACAAAATGGACATTTTATTTCATATCAATTCAAGGTCCCGAGTCTGGCTTTATTATTTTACTTAACTTCATTACTCTTAGTAAAATGTGACCAGTTTCCAATGGCTCCCACCTTGTGTTTACAACCACACCTTTTATAGCAATTGCTGCCAAACTATTTGGATACCTGGTATTTTAGGCTTCAGTTTTGTATTTCTAAGTATTTGCACAATATAATGAGATCCCTTTTGAGAGGAGACTCAAGTGTGAACACAAAATTCACTTATGCTGTGTATACAGCTTATAAACACAGCCAGAAGGTAAATCTCTACAATAGTCTGAATAACTCTGTACATGAAACAAAGTTTAGCACAGATAATGGACTAGGTGAGTTTTTCCTCTTACAGATCCTGAGCAACTGTGAGCTTGCATCTGTTTTTTTTTTTTTTTTTTTTTTTTTTTTTTTTATACAGCCCATCATAAAATCAAACAGGAATATTTCATATGTAATGTATTGTCTGTGCCCAGAAAGGTTTAGATTTGGAGGTCTTTTTAAATAGTATATCTTCAGATGAAAGATGCACTATGAACTACAGACGACTGTCTAGATATAGACTACTTCTATGTTGAAACCACGAAGTCAGTGCATTGTAATGCTAGTTTCTTTTTCAGCAAATAATATAAATAATTTATGGGGTAAAATGATTTATTTTAAAAGTGAGCATGTGCTCAAGTATATCTTAGAATTTTTCTTGAGCACCAAGTCCAAAGGCCCTGTATCTTTG